TTTATTTTTGTGTGCACGAGAATTTTGTTTGCATGCATCACGTGCATGCCTGGTGTCCAAGTTGGTCAGAGGAGGGCATCAAATCCCTTGGAACGGGAATTTCACACTACACGCCAGGTGGGTGTGAAAATCAAACACTGGTCTTCTCCAAGAGCATCTAGTGCTCTTAATCTCTGAGCTGCTGCTCCAGCCCGGTCTACAATTTTCTGACTCTGTTCACAGTGCTCTAAAGGAAGTGGCTCATAAAGCTATCTTTCATACTTCATATTAATCCCCTTGGAATGTGGAATCTGAGGATTTAAGAGTCTTGGTGGCCTGGCGTGGTGACACACACCTTTGATCCCAGCACTTGGAAGGCAGAGGCAGGTGGATCTCTGTGAGTTTGAGGTCAGCCTGGTCTACAACGGGAGTTCCAGGACAGCCTGAGCTATTACAAAGAAAAAAAAAAAACCTGGCTTGGAAAACAAACAAACAAACGAGTCTTGATAAGCTACCCAAACAAACCCTGTCTCAAAAACAAAAACAAAACAAAACCAAGGATGCAGAGGGACCTCAGTTGTTTCCCGAGTCAAGTTTTCACACTCCTTTAGCAGCGTCTGTCCCCCAGAGCCCTGGGGCCACCTTGGGAAGTCTTGCTTAAAATGAATTTTTGAGCTGGATCTGGTGGCACAGGCCTGTCATCTTCGCTACGCAGAAATCTGAGGCAGAAGGATTACAGATCAAAACCTTCCTGGGCTACAGAGCGCGTGTAAGGCCTGCCCAACTTAGGGAGATCCTGTCTCCAGAGACGAAGGCAAAACGGAGGCTGAAGATTCCGCTCAGTGGCACAGCCTTGGCTCGGCAATCTCAGCACTACTAAAAAGAGAGGAAAAGAAGCATGCCATTTTGCTGATGTGCTGGCTACAAAGAATAAAATGTAAAAAAAAAAAAAAAAAAAAAGGTTTCCCTTCAGACGCTAGGGTAGAGCGTGTGTGCGTGTGTGTGTGCATGCGTGTGTGTGCGTGTATGAGTGTGTGTGAGAGAAAGAGGGGGGAGGGAGAGATGTGGTGCCCTGTTCACATGTTGAGTTGGAGCTTGTGTGTATGTAACACGCGCTGTGCAGTAACTTCTCAGGACAGCTTAGTCTTCATCTAATTACCTGTTAGGGAGAAATACTTCATTTTTTAAAGATTTGTTTTTATTTTATTTGCATAGTTTTGCTGGCATGTTTATCTGTGTACCACAGGTGCAGTGCCGGCAGAAGCCAGAAGAGGGCATCAGTTCCCCTGGCACCGGCGTTAGCGATGGCTGTGAGTCACCACGTGGGTGCTGGGAATTGAACCTGGGTCCTCTGGAAGAGCAGCCAGCGCTCCTAACGGCTAAGCCCTCAGCCCCCATAGAGAGGAACCTTAAGGCTGCTATCATATATAGTTAAAACACTTATCCTTCATCGCACTTTAAAAACCTTGTTTGAAAGATTTATTTTGTGTGTAAGAGTATTTGCCTGTATTTATGTCTGTGTACCAGATACATGCCTGGTGCCTGCAAAGGCTGAAACAGGCAGTCCGATCCCTACAGCTACAGACAGTTGTGAGCTGCCATGTGAGTGCTGGGAACCAAACCTGGGTCTTTTGCAAGAGCAACAAGTGCTCTTAATTGCTAAGCCAAACTCTCCAGGGCCCTTCATTATACTTTCTTAAAGACAATTTGTGGGGCTGGGGACTTAGCTCGGTAAGTTGCTTGCCTAGCTTGTGCACGGTGCTGAGGAGAAGGCGGTGGGGTCGGGGATGACGTACAGATTCAGGAGACTTTTCTAATGTTATGCTGTGTGCCTTTTAACTAGAGCTTCAAAGGGAGTCAATCTGCAGACCCCTTTGCGATCACATCATCCTTGCTCTGGGAAGCTGAAAGGCAGGATCATTGTATTCTCCTGTGAAGCCCGTGACTGGACTGTGCCCTCCCCAGCAGGGCTCCACACTGACAGGTCTCTCTCTTCGTGCTCCTCCAGCTGGGGAGTCCTCTCTTCTTGGCAACAGAAAAATCTGATTAGAATTCATCTGTCTTTAGAGCATCTGCCACGTGTGAGGGACCACTCTGGTAGCTGGGGATACCGTACTGGAGGAGCCAAGATCTGTGACCTCTAGGAAAGGAAAACAGACAACCGCAAACTGAAAACAAGAACATCATAACAGCCACATGGTGGGGGAGTGACAGGAGAAGGGGGAGGGAGTGGTTGTCATAAACTGTGAGATCAGGTGACATTTTTACAGAGGTGGGGCAGCCAGTGGCTTAGGCATCTGGAAGGACAGCATTCCAGGTAGAAGAAATGGCAGGTGCCACGACTCTGGGGAATAAGACTGTTGTGCATATTGGAAGGGGACTGGGGGGTGAGCAGGGCAGTAAAACCAGAGTGAAGGGAGGCCAGAGTGGGGTAGGTGGACTAGGGAGAGGGCAGAGGAAGTCCAGGTGGCTGTGACTTGCAGGGTGACTTGGCTTTCACTAGTGAAAGAGAAACCACTGCTGGGCTGAGCAGAGCCATGACTCCAGCAGAGCTGTGTTCAAGGGATGTTGGCCATCCCTCATAGAAGGAGGAAGCGGGCCAGGTGGTTCCAACAGAGGCAGGCGGATATCTGTGAGTTCGAGGCCAGCCTGGTCTGCAAAGGGAGTTCAGGACACCCAGGGCTTCTTGTACAGAGAAACCCTGTCTCAAAAAAGCAAAAACAAAACAAACAGGAGTGGGGAGGACAACTAGGCTGTGGCTGAGATCCAGCTGTCCTGTCCCTCTGGGCCCTCTCTCAGGTGTCTGTAATTCTCTTCCTGCTGTAGGATGCCTCTGGGGGTGCAAGAGAACACAGAGGGTTGAAGGCCAATGGAAAGGGGGACTCTAGCTAAGCAGAGAGAGGAAGGTCATCATCCACGCTAAGGTGAGACTTCTTGGTGAGACAACTGTCTCCCATGCTCTAGTAAACTCACTGGTTTTCCAAGCCAGACTTGGGTAGAATCATTCCTTTTGATCTATCACTGGGGAGCACAGACATTTGTTCATTGCCCCCCCCCCCGAAAAGTGAAGTCATCAAGGAGTCAGAAGAGGCCTCTAGTTTGTGGACACAAAGACTGAGACGTGCTGTGGCCCACTCTCAGCTGAGAGACCTTGGCCTCTCCTGACCTCACCTCCTCTCTAGGAAAGGCTTGAGCCCTTTCTTCCTGTGCTGAGCTCATCAGGATAGGCTCTGTGTGGGCAGGGACAGAGGGAAGCGCTGGAATGGGAGTGTGCAGAGGCGCCTGAGTGTCTAAAGTGCAATCATCCGTCTCTGGAAGCCCATGAGCGGTACGCACCACTGCCTATTTGGCACCTACCTATTCTGAGCCTTAGATTCTTGCTGGCTCAAGGAAAACGAGGGTCACTGTGTCCCTGCAAGCCCAGGCAGAAACGGAGCCACTCCCTGCCCAAGAATCAGAGCTGTGGGTCATACACTGAGCTCTGTCAATTCTTGGGGACTTTGCTGCCTCTGAGCCCTTATACCTTCCCTTTAAAGCGTCCGTCATGGTTGGATTCTACACTTATTACTCAGTCTGGTCTTTGTCTCTTCCCACCAATCTAGAAGCTGCCAAGCCTGGGGGGCTTTCTCTGTTACCTTCAGAGTCGTGTTCTCAGACCTCCACTGTACTTCGTAAGGGCACCAGATGAATGAATGAAGAAATGGTGAATAAGGCTATTACTGTGAATTCCTTTTTCACAGGCAACAAAACAGAAGCCCAGACAGAAGGAAGTCGGAGTTGCTCAGCAACCGTGCAGGTGTCTGCTTTCTGGCTCAGTTCCTACAAGGGGAGCATCCAAGAAAGGGCCCAGGCCCACTCCCAGAGGCCTCAACAGTCCCACACTCACCTTGCCTCGGCTGTGCTCCTCTAAGAGAACTGCACAGTCAGATCCTGGCCCTTGAAGTGACACTAGCTCCAGGAAAGGCTCCCAGGGCAGGAGCAGGGGCAAGGGACAACCTATCAGTTATTAATGATAGCCTATATTGATTAAGTCTAACGACAACTGGGCAACTGGGCACACCTTTAATTCCAGCACCCGGGAATCTGAGGCAGGAGGAGCTCTATGAGTTTAAGACTAGCCTGGTCTGAAAAAAAAAAAAAAATATATATATATATATATATACACACACACACACACACACACACACACACAGACAGACACACACAGTAATAACACTTTCAATACACACACACACACACACACAGACACACACAGTAATAACACTTTCAATGTATCAGAGCTCGTTGTTCTTTTCCAATACTTCTTCCAGACAGCTTGTCCTTTCCTTCTGTTTTGTTTTGTTTTGATGACAGGATTTATAGAGGCAGAGGCAGAGGCAGAGGCAGAGGCAGAGGCAGAGGCAGAGGCAGAGGCAGAGGCAGAGGCAGAGGCAGAGGCAGAGGCAGAGGCAGAGGCAGGTGGATCTGTGAGTTTGAGGCCAGCCTGGTCTACAGAGTGAGTTCCAGGACAGCTAGGGTTACACGGGGTTTGTTTGTTTGATTGTTTATTTGTTATTGTTTGAAAAAAACAAAAAAAAAGAGAAAGAAAGGGACATGATATCACTATATAGCCTTTGCTGGCCTAGAATTCCCCCTGTAGACTGCCTCCACTAAGCTTTTCTCCCTGATGAAGGTGCGGTTAATGGGTCAGCGGCAGAACACGTGTACTCCAGCGCGGGCCCTCAGGCCTCTGGTTAAACTTATACAGATAGTCCTGTGCAGCGCAGCAGGCGCCAAGCAGCCGGCATATTCAGTCTTGTGTTCTAACCCCGCGTACCCATCGACCTGACTCCCACATCTCTGGATTCATTAAGATCATTAATGAATCTACAAGGTTGTCACAAGATAATATGCTCGGAATTCCTGGCCCCAGAACAAAGTAAGTGTTCAATAAATGTTAATTATTGATATTCGTGTTGTTCTTTTGCGTGTTCCTAGGCCCAGGAGGGAGGGCTGCAGTAAGATGGTATCTGAAGTGAGGTCACCCCGCAGGGATTCTAACCTGACTACACCCAGCCCAGAGAGCATCAGACTGAAGTTTTGAGACTGAGGTCTCTTGCCCCGCCCCTCCAGACTTTAACAGGGAGAGCGGGAGGACCACGCAGGCGCAGAGAGCGCGCACTGGCCCGGGCCTCCAGCCCCTCCGCTTTGGCGCATGGAGGGGCGCGTGAGCCCCGTGGGCTCGTCCCGCAACCTCCCAGCCGCGGCTGTGCTGTTCCGCGGCCCGGTGGAGCCCGTCGTCTTCCTGGCCAACTTTGCCCTGGTGCTGCAGGGCCCGCTCACCACACAGTACCTGTGGCACCGCTTCAGCACTGAGCTCGGCTACAATGGCACCCGCCACCGGGGGAACTGCGGGAACCAAAGCGCGGACCCCGTCATGAAGGTAGTGGGGACGGGCATGGCTGTGAGCACGAGCGCGGCACGGGGCGGGGCTTGGGGAAGATGGGGTCCCCTAGAGGGGACGCTCCTTACGTGGTGGGCAGGGCCAGAGCAGAGGGGGCCTGCCCTGGCTGGCTGTCTTGGGGTGCAGGTAGTGGACCTAGGGAAAGCCTGGCCCGGAGGATTAACATAAGCGCAAGAGACGGAGGGACTGCTTTTCCCGGGCCTGTTTTTACAAGTTGAACGAACCTTCCAAGACAAGAGGCTTAGGGCTCCAAAAGCAAGAATAATGATGGTAGCTGACCAAAGTGAGGGCCTGCACGCTGGCGATTGTGTCTTTACAGGAAGTGGAGACCCTGACTTCCCACTGGACCCTCTACTCGAACGTGGGAGGCTTCCTGGTGGGACTCTTCTGGTCCACCCTGCTGGGAGCGTGGAGTGACCGTGTGGGTCGCCGCCCACTGCTGGTGCTGGCCTCGCTTGGTCTGCTGCTCCAGGCCGTGGTGTCCATCTTTGTCGTGCAGCTGCAGCTGCACGTCGGCTTCTTCGTGCTTGGCCGAGTCCTTTGTGCCCTTCTGGGAGACTTCAATGGCCTCCTTGCCGCTAGCTTTGCCTCTGTGGCGGATGTTAGCTCCAACCACAGTCGCACATTCCGCATGGCTCTGCTGGAAGCATGCATTGGTGTGGCGGGGACCCTGGCAAGCCTTCTCGGGGGTCACTGGCTCCGGGCCCAGGGATATGCCAACCCCTTCTGGCTGGCTTTGGCCCTACTGATCGTTATGACTCTATACGCAGCATTCTGTTTTGGCGAGACAGTGAAGGAGCCAAAGTCCACCCGGCTTTTCACGCTCCGCCATCACCGATCCATCGTCCGGCTGTATGTGGTCCCAGGCCCAGAGAAGTCCAGGAAGCATCTAGCCCTGTACTCATTGGCCATCTTCGTAGTGGTCACCGTGCACTTTGGAGCCCAAGACATCCTGACACTCTATGAGCTGAGCACGCCCCTCTGCTGGGACTCCAGTCTGATTGGCTATGGATCTGCGGCCCAGCACTTACCCTACCTCACCAGCCTCCTGGGTCTAAGAGTTCTGCAGTACTGCCTGGCTGACACCTGGGTGGCTGAGATTGGCCTGGCCTTCAACATCCTGGGAATGGTGGTCTTTGCGTTTGCCACCATCACCCCCCTCATGTTCACAGGTAAAGTGAAAACGGGGCCATCCACTTATCGCCCCCAAATGTGGTTCAAGCCTTTGTCTTTGGACCCAGAGTTACACTCTCAGCCTGTGCAGAGGACAGACAATGAGAAACCCCAGGGGGAAAAAAATGTCATCTTTGATATACAGAAAGTACAGCGCTTCAGTGGCCAAAGTAATTAATGCACGTTATCAACCATAACTATGTTAGAAATGTAGAGCAAATGACGGAAGCATAGCTCATAAGCTAATTGTTTCACCCCTCGGCCTCCCAAAGTCCATGTCATTAATGTCTTGATCCTTGGCTCTCGGATAAGAATCGCAGGGCCTCCCTCTAGGATCTTATTTGTTTAGAGAGGGACAGGCTCAGACTTGGCCTCCTGATTTTCTGTATAGCCTAAGATGACTTTGAACTCTGATCCTCCTGCCTCTACCTCCCAGAAACTGTGGTCGCAGGGCATTAACAACCTTGTTCTGCCTTTTGGGTTTGTGAAAAACCTCAAAAGGTCTAAAATTCCTGCTGACTCAGTTCCTCTTCCCCTCCCCTCCCCACTCTCCCCTCTGGCCAGAGGGGCAGCTGGCCGGAATGAAGAAGTTAACTCTCTAAGACAGGCGAGGGTGTTCCGTAGAGCCCGGAACTGCGCTGTGTGCAGGGTCAGCTGTTTGTTGGAAGTGGCTATGTTGACTCAGCCGCTGGACTGACAGCAAAGCTAAAAGGACCAGTAGTGCCAAGATGAGAGATGCTGCAGCAGAACTGCAGACGGTGTATGCCTGTAGGTACCTGGATGCCAGGGGCAAAGGAACTCTCGTGCTATGCCGTCAACATGTGCCCTTCCACAGATGTCACCTTCTTATCCCCTGTGTTAGTTCCCCGAAGTGGCTGAAGCTAATTGCCACACACAAGGTATCTTAAACGACAGGTATTCTTCCAGTGCCGGAGGCCAGAAGTCCAGGGTCAGTGTCACTGAAATCAGAATGTCTGACAGGGGCACTAGCAGAGAAGCCACGTCCCATAGTCTTGAGTCTGTGCAGTGGCAGGCCCCCCTGCTCCTTAGTCAGTTCTTTATTAGCCTATGAAAAAGGAGAGTTTCAGGGCTGGAGAGATGGCTCAGAGATTAAGAACACTCGCTGTTCTTCCGAAGGTCCTGAGTTCAATTCCCAGCAACCACATGGTGGCTCATAACCATCTATAGTAAGATCTGGTGTGCAGGCAGAATGTTGTAAAAATAACAAACAAACTTTAAAAAAAGAAACTAGAAATGAAAAAGGAGAGCTTCCTCAAGGTCCTTCCTGGTTAAACCTGTAAAGCTTCATTTTCCGAGGAAGACAGCTCACAGGTTTAGGGTCTGTCTTCCAGGCTGTCATTCAGCCTCTCCCACTGAAGAACCCTCCACTGATAGAGGCCTGTGGTCTTCCTCTTACACACCAGGGGATAGGTCAGGGATGTCCACTGGGCAAGGTCACACACACACAGCAAGCAGTGGTAGTGGGGATTGAACTCAGGGCCATCTCTAAAGCCCAGGCTCATTTTCTGGGTCCTGCCATCTCCCTTCTAGTGCCAAGTGGCCACTAGAGGCATTCAGACAAAGCAGTGGGTGGAGTTTAGCTCTCATTCAGAAAGAGTGGGCAGAGAAAGCTGCTGTCCTTTCTTCCTGGGCCTAACATCTGTCCCTCCAGGTATATATGCAGGTGTTCTGCTGTGTCAGGACACCCCTCCTGGTAGCTCTTTCCTGACCAGTGTTTCTCTCTCCAGGGTATGGCTTGCTCTTCCTGTCATTGGTCACCACACCTGTCATCCGGGCCAAGCTCTCCAAGCTGGTGAGCGAGTCGGAGCAGGGTGAGTGTTGGGATCAGTCTGTGCCTGGTCCTTCATGCCCAGTGTTGCCTGAATGGGCATACGGGCAGTTCTGGTCAAGGATGGCCTGCTTTCCACCCTCTCATCTGAAGGAGTAAGTAACCAAGACAGATGCAATCTGCCAAGTGCTCAGAGCTGGCTAGAGAATGCTGCTGTGGATTTTTGCACCACAGAATTAAGATTGCTATCAGTAGAGCGTGGTCAGGTTCTGAGTAACCCCAGCAGAGTTTGTCTCTCCAGACCTCATCTTTCCCATCTGTAAAGTGGTGGTGATGATCCCAGAGTTTCCTGTCTCTTTGGGATCAGAGAATACAGGTCCAGAGGGAATAAACCTGTGCCATAGGTTTCATTGGCCTCTGTTGACAGATGAAGAAACAGAGGCCTGGAGGGTTAAACTGAGCTCTTTAGGGTTGCTCCGGAAATAATGGCCTGGGACGCATGTGTGAGCGTGCACATGTGTTCACATATATGTGGCTGCAGAGAGGGACATCAGGTCTTGAGGAGCATGGTGTCATTGATTTGGGTAGACCTGTTGTCTCATGGATCTCCTAAGCACTGGGATTACAGGCGTCCGCCATACCCCATTATGTGAGTTTGGGGCATCCGAACTCTGGTCCTCATGGCAGGTGCTTCATCCACTGACCCTACCTCCACACTCACACACCCACCCATTCGTGTGTTTTTAAGAGTCCTGGGCCTTGTAGCTGGGTTTCTGGGCCTGCTCTTCTTCTGGGACATGAGGTCTTTGTTCCACACTCAGGCCCTGGTAGTCTCTGCTCCTGTTGGGTTATTGCTCATTTTGCAACAGCTGGGCACAAAGCTGAGTTCTGGCACACACCCGCCTGGCACAAATGAGACAGACACACGAATGGTGGTGCATCAAGAGGCTGAGGCAGGAGGATTGCAAGTTCAAGGGCAATTGAACTCACATAGAGAGACCTTCTCTCAAAACAAAACCAACCTGGCTGCAGAGAGATGACTCAGCCTTTAATAGCATGGCTGCTCTTGCAGAGAACCTGGGTGCGATTCCCAGCACCCATGTGGTGACTCATAACCACCTGTAACTCCATTTTCAGGGGATCTGACACCCTCTTTTAGCTTCCAAGGGCATCAAGCATGCAAGTGTCAGAGAGACATACAAACTGGGCAAAACACCCATACACATTAAAGTGACATTAACGGCTGTATGTCCAGCAGCTCTTCTGCCAGGCACTTCCCATGTATGACTTGTCTACCTCAATAGTGAGAGTAGGAGGCACAGGTGAGGGAGGTGAGGCCCAGGAGGTCAAGTGTCTCGTTTGAGGTCACTGAGCTCTGAGGTGAAGCCGCGCTCATTTGACCCGAGGTCTTTCCAGCTCTGAAGTGTGGTTTTATCCCCTCACAGGTGCTCTCTTTTCTGCTGTGGCTTGTGTGAATAGCTTAGCCATGTTGATGGCCTCTGGCATCTTCAACTCGCTCTACCCAGCCACTCTGAACTTCATGAAGGGCTTCCCCTTCCTCCTGGGAGCCGGCCTCCTCTTCATCCCGGCCATTCTGATCGGGTAATGGAGGGTCCTGACCCTGCCTGTGCATCATGGAGTCTTACTTTCCTAGAAGCTTCCTCTTACCTCCCCCCACCCCCAAGAAAGAGCAGCTTCACTCCCGGAACCCTTGTCCATTAGGCATCTCAATCCAGGGCTGACCCTATCCCACGCAGATGGCTGCATCTTTTAGGAGCCATCTGCAGAGCAAGGTGGAGGGATGTGTGGGGAGGGGTCTGTGTCCTCTTCACCAGGCCCCCTCAGCCTGCCAAGCTGCAGTTAGGACTACAGCAGCCCGACCCACTGAAGTCTTTAGAGTTGTTCTCCAGAGCCATCTGCCTGTGAACACTGGGAGCTGCCCACCCAAGTCAGTCCCATGTCACCTCTCCAGACTCTGCTGGGGGCTGCACATGTCGACTCTGAACCGTCTCTCTGGTCTCTCACAGAGTGCTGGAGAAGGCTAACCCACGCCCTGAATTCCAGCAGTTTCCTCAGAGCTCCTGATCCGTCAGAGGCCACGAGGAGCATGGACCGTCACCGACTGCATGCACCGGCCCAATGCACTAGCCACTCCTGTGAGTCCAGTACTCATGGAAAGGGTGGTCAGGCCAGTTGGACACCACCTGTTCTCCCACTGAGCCAGTGTCTGCTGGATCTGGAATCTAACTGGAACAGGCCCACTCAGGGCAGGTTGCAGGGAGCCATTTGAGGCAAGGGTTTCTTCGCCCTTTATGCTGTTCATCAGAACCTTCCGGAGTGAAGGGGACGGCACTTCAGGGACCAAGTGATGCATGAGACCAGCCTCTCCTTCCAGCCTGTGGTACCACACCCCTGAAATGTACAGTGACCTCCAGTCACCCCTTAATGAAAACCATGGTTCCTGGAGGGAGCTTTTGCTACAGAGGGAGAAGCGCTGTCTGTGGTTTGGAATCAGCCCCTGACCACAGCCTGTCCACCCTTGACCTCAGCCATGCCAGTTGTTGAAGTAAATTGTTTGAATCAGACTGGAAAGTCACTGGGCTTTGGGGCTTTCTGTGTTCCTGCTCTGTCTGTGTGGCACAGGCCAGAGACCAGCAGCTGTTCGGCTGGAGCTCCTGAGCTGCCTGAGGGCTCGGTACTGGGGATGTCATGGCCCCTCCAGGCTCCCGATGGTTTCTCTCTAAGCTGCTCAGGGGTGATGAGCTTGTGAGGCTTTATCAGGCCCGTGGAGACACTTGGGTCCAAGCCCTGGCTTCCCCTTGCTGAGTGTCCAATGTGTCCCCCCTGGCTGGCGTTCACAGCTACACCAGCCCCAGCTCATTCTCTTTTGATTGCCATTTGGCCCTCCCACATAGCTCAGTGCTGGGTGGGGTCAAGTACTGAGACCTGAGACCATCCTTCCTGCTTCTGTGAGTGCATGGAGGTTGGGAAGACTTGGGCCTGAAGCTGGGAGGCAGGATCTTATCTATTGGGAAATCACTGTCTTTGGTGACCAGCAATCCTCTCCAAGCTGACCCAAAGTGGGAGGTTTGTGAGTCTTCAAACTGGAGCTGTCTGAGAGCCAGACCCTGCAGCTGTCTCTTCCCACCCGCCCTGCAAGCCAGTAGCCTGCCTGGAAACCATGCAGGTGACCAAGATGTAGCCCAGGGAAAACTAAGGCCCGGTGAACTGGAGCAGGGTCCATCTTGCTTCCTAACTCCTGCCTCACCACCCCTGTGGCGATGGAAGAGGCCTTCCACTGACTCCATGACTGTGAGGCTGTGAGGAGGAAAAGGCTCCACTTTCGAAGCCCATGACCTTGAATAAACCTAGAGAGAGCTGATCAGCACTCCCCTAAAACTGTCCGATTGCAAGGATCTAATTTGATGTGTTAGAAACAGTTGTTGGACGTTCTGAGATCACTCCAGCTTCATATGTCCCAGGATGTATGATGCCCAGTGAAGGGATGAGCAGACTGGGATTGGACCTTTGGCCTCTTAACATCCCTGAGCAGTTCACAGACCCCCTAAACAGGAGGGGGTACCCTGACTTGGCTCCATCTTGGGGGCAGCAGCGATAGCCCAGCCAGGCAGAAAACCCTGAACCCACAGACTACGTGAGCGTGGGCTGCTTGAAGCACCACTGAAGAGCCTCTCTGGAGGTCAGTGTGGTCAGCCATGCTTGGCACACTGCCAAGCATGTGACGCCCAGAGGCTCACTCTGCTTCCGATCTCAGATGTATGTTATCACAGAACATACTGCCTAGCTGGAGGAGGCTTGACACTTCTGCTACCCTGGCTGGGACAGAAGGCTGTGCTGTGGTTCCCCAGAAAGACGGGGGGACAGTCAACAGAAGGGCAGACAGTGGAGGTAGTAGTGACGTGTGCCAAAGAAGAACAGGCAGAAAATTTCTTGAGTACTGCCCACAGGGACCTTTGGAGAATGTGGAACTGAAGACAGACAGACAGAACATTTCCCCAGGGGGAATTCATACACTGTATTGTCATTGAGTTTGTCATCAAGGGCATCATTCTATCTGCCTCACCTCAGAATAGGATGTGGGGTTGCCACTGGTGACAGGATTGCAGATAGCCACAGCTGGAGGCCAGCCACAACCCAGGGACATTGGGGTCTCTAGCAAGAAGGACAGTGGAAGGTTGTTCCCAAGCCTGGAGAAAAAGCCCTTTGGCTCCCTGATAATATGGACCGAGGGCAAGTAACGGCCAGCTGCAGGAGAGCTGTGACCCCACTGCCTCCAGAAGACAGCAGCAGGGTGGCACAAGCTCCAAGATTGAGCCTGGGTAGTGGCAAGAGCCGACTTTCTTGCCTTCCTTGTTCAGTGGAGGGAAGAACATAGACAGTCCTGTCCAGTTATTTCTGTATGCCCTGGCTCAGCCATTAGCCCAAGACCCACTCCCTACTGCTCAGTTCTTTGGAGCCAGGGAGAGGTTGCTACCCAGCTTGGGCCACAGCCTCTCGGATGAGTCTCAGGTCTGGACACTGCAGTGCTGTGTGCGGAGACAGCCACCAGTGACTTGGGGACATGGGCCTATTCCTCAGCCACTCCTCTCTGTAAGACTGAGGAGGCAGGACTGGAAAGGGCTGCTGTGATGATTAGGGACCAGGACGGGGGTGTTTGGAACATGGCGAGGATTGGTGAGGGCCTTGCATCAACCCACCTGGGTATCTGAAAACTGCAGAGGCTCAGGCACTTCCCAGATGCCTGCTCTGAGTTTTGACAAGATTCACAGTGGTGGGAGAACCTGCCCCAGGAATTGGCCCTTGCCGGTGAAGGGCTTGCCTCTTCCCTGTGGTGCAGGTTCTGCTCAGGCTACTGGTGCTGTTGGGGCTTCCCTGAGCAAGTGGGTATCAAGCCAGATGGAGCAGGCTAGGCAAGAGCCTTAGGGACAGCACTAAGCTTAGCCTTATGATCTCCTTGCATAAGCAAGGGGCACCTTCTTGCACTAGGAAGGGCAACAAGGCCGGGTAGAGAGCCGCCTCAGCTGCACCCTGACTCCTGGCAAAGGAGGCTGTCTGGCAGGGGTACCAAGAAGTTATAGAGCAAGGCCACAAGGCGGCAGGAAGCCAGGTGAGCCTGGGGCCAGGCACAATGTGAGCAGACAACCTTTGGGGGATTCCCAACCCCAACTGCCTCCTGGGCCCAGATGGAGGGCCGAGGCATTGTCCTGACTCCTGCCAGAGGCTGCCAGCCACACCCTACTCAAGCTGGCTGCTCTTAGGGAGGCGATGGGAGAATGCCTTTCCCCTATCTTGAGTGTCCAGAACTAAGCCCGGACATGGCTGGGGGGGGGGGGGGTTGGAACCTGATGGCAGGGCCTGAGAGAGGAGTGTCCTCTTATCTAACCCCGTGCCTGGCATCTCTGGGGTAAAGTGGGCCACTGGGTGGCAGCAGGGAAAGCCGTTTCCTGAGAAGGGTAGGGTCTGTCTCAGCCCAGGGTGGTCTAAAGGAGCTCTTCCTTTAGGGGTGGGGAGGTGATGGAACTGGGAGTCACAGCAGGGTGTGGGAACTGGGGACAGGTTAAGGCAGACCCATTGGTGCAGCTCCCTCCAAGCTGGTATCAGAGCCCGCAGAGGAGTCCTGAGAGGGGCGGCCCTGCAGGAAACGGATGATCTTCTCGATGGTGGCCTCCTGGTACTCGTGAGACCATCTGTGGACACAGAGGCCAAATGGGTCAGAGGGTGGGCAGAGGTGGCATGGGCCAGCCATTTTCTCCCCCCAGGGCGGTAGGTACACACACACACACACACACACACACACACACACACACACACACACA